TATTCATTTCAAGAACACTGCCTGTTATTATTTGACCTTAATATTAGAAAAGCTATATATATCTCATTAGACAGCTAAATCAATCAACGAACGTCATCCATCTTTGAATTAGTTTGAAGATTTGATCTAGACTTGAGTCGGTTTACGGATCCGGAAGTTAATTAATTACTCATACATATATAGAAAGACCTCAATTTCTTGTGTATTTTGAGTACGATTTTATTGATATGTAAATCGTGTATTGAATCATATTAGATTTAGTAAAGCAAGAATTTCCAAATGGTAGTTATAACTTTTTCAATTTTTGGGTACTTGGCTTTTTTTGCTGAGTTTAGGGGAGGGTCACCCTAGCAAGGTTGAACATAGGGATGCCCCACTACAATTCCAGGGGGGGGGGGTGTGGAGAAAAAAGAGAGAGAGAAAAAGTGAAAGGATAAATTGGGGGCGTAAGCACTTCCCCTTCTCTCAAAACCCATCTTAACTCCAAACAAAGTACTTGAGTAATTACTAATTAGTAATAAAGAAGAACTTGATTTCATTTTCATCACATATCATTTTCATTACTTTATCTTGTATAATTAAAAAGTGGTGGTGCTTGATTCATTTAACAAGGTACGTATCGTTCATATAAGTGGCCCAAAGTTTTGCTTGATTGTCTCCCTAATCAAATAATTTAGTTGATCCGTGACAAAACCCAACGATTTGTATAAGAATTGTGTGCCAATGCTCATCCAAATTCTTGATGGGGCCATTTGGGAAACGCAAATTGAAGATGTGGACAAAACTTTCACTACAAATTGTCCGTGACATCTTGTTTTGCGACCCGCAAAATCTATCACTCACATGCGTTGCCATTGAACGGCGAGAACATATAACATTTTTTTAATTTGCCTAATTAACTTATTAATCTTTTTAATTTCTTTCCTTCCGTACCACCCCAAATTTTCAACCTCGAGATTCAAAGTTAGATTGCAAGCTTGTGGAATGTTTGCTTAACCCAAGAAGAATGAGTATTCAATTTTTTTGTGAATATATAATAATTATTATTATTATAATACAATTAAGTGTACATCAGAAGTTGACGAAGTAGTGATCTTCTTGTCAAATTTATATAAATAGCACAGCGTGCATGAAATACCTCTAGGGGGGGGTTCTTTTCATATTTATAGGATATTTTTAAAATATGCGTATATAAAAAAATAAAAATAAGAAGGATATAAAACATATAATATGTAATATTACATATGATGTCAATTTTAAATAGTTTAAATAATAAATTTGTAAAATTATTTTAAACATTTAAGATCTTTTGTAGTTTAGTTTGAAGGGATCCAATTTTCAAATTTAATTTAATGCGTAAACTGTTACTTTAACAAAATGAATATGAAATTGAGAACTTCATGCACAAGCACAGTGCTAATATATATAGGTAATTAATAGCTAAATGGGATTTGTCACATACATTACCTGCACTTACCAAAATCCAAAGAAAACATCCAACACCTACCGAAACTTCTTTAAAATTATTTTGGAAAGACTTACCAAAACATCTTTGACAAGTATGAACAAATTACCGGTCATGTGAGGAAATGTTGATGGGTCATTATTCTACTATTATAACATCAACGAAGATAACGAACAAACTTATTTCCATGGCCCCATTATCACGTCAAGGTACTAAAACACAACACAACAGAACAAAAATGTACACAATATTCACCTTTCTTTAGTGGGTTTTCTCAAGTAATTACAAAAGAAAAAAGTTGAAAAGAGAATAGCATGAATCGGGAAGCTATCTATATGTGTCTAGCTGGTCATCATGGAAATAGCATTTCCACAAAACACCTGAAGTGCATTTGAAGTTTTCAAAACTATTACTTGGAGGATTAAGTATATTCAGAGATCATGGAAGTAGAATGATGTATCGTTGAAACAACATTTGTTGCAATAAATAGTTCCTGTTTTCTGAAGTAACATGAAGTGGGTTCCCTCTATTTTTGTTTTATTAGTATATGGTACGGATATATAGGGGGCTCAAACCAATAGTGAACCTAATTCATAGGTGGCATATGCATTCTTCACGGCTTTAATCATATAAAATGGCCTACATTAGAGTGTAGGTAGAGGTTATGAAATGACCTCCTTGACTTGTGCATGTAATGCCAATTTATGACATAGTCGAATCAACCGGTAGGTTTTCAACAAAATCTATCGTTAGTAGTTGCATAACTTCCAAATCCCCCAACATTTTTGTTCTTAGTTTTCTTCGTAATGCTTCTGGACATTGTTTTTCTCAATTGTTTTTCTTTTTTATATTAATCTTGTAAAGAAAAAATAGTTCTTTTAAGCACTCATCCAGTCGATCGTATGAATTGGAGCTATTCGTGAAATAGGAAAGAATAAAATATAAAGACAAATTATGCACCAAATTAAGAGTTTAGATAAGTGACTCTTCATCTACACTAGAACATTTCAACTGCATTTATTTACTTCATGTATAAAAAATAGTAAACTCTCTTAGATGAGTCTTATACATGGTTATTGGCACGAAGATATATATGCACTTAATGATATATATTTTTGTACTTTGATAAGATAAAAATAAGAGTAATATATATTTTAGTCAGACAAATTATATACATCAATCACTTTAGTTTAGAGACTTTACAAAAATTTTAATTTAGTTTTTTAAATTATTTATTTAATTATTTTATTTTATTTGTACTGTCATTTTATATAAATAAAAATAAAAATTATTTTATAAATTAAAAAATAAAGTGAGAATTAATTAAAATTGGAGATTAAAATAAACTTATAATTTGAGGAACGAAAATAGAAATTTACTTATATAAAATGATAAAACATTTTTATCTAAAACATCATTTTAGGTAAATATTATGTTTTATTTTATTTGTCATTTTAGACAAATCAAGAACGTGTTTTTAAAATATTATTCATCTCTTTTGGTATCCCGATAGTTGGAATGACATTACCCCTTTAATGAATCGAGAGGATAATTGAGTCAAATAAATTTATATTTTCATAAAATTAAGCGATTCATAATTTTATGACTTATCAATCATTCAATCTTTGTGTAAAACCATCAAATAACTTATATTTTAAAATGATATAGTCTGAAAAGAGGTAGTGAAATATTAGAAGCTAATATTGCAGCTTGAGAATAATATTTTATATTTAAACACGTAAAGTTAATATGCTTTACTATTTTATCATTTTCATACATCTATAAAATTTTAAAGACCTAACGTATAATTTCCTTTCTTTAAGATTATTTTGTCTTAAAATTTTCATTTATGTGCAAATTAGTTCTCAAAATTACTAACTTGTTTACAAGTTAATGTTATTGAAATTCTGCAAGTTGCTAAGCATTTTACCTTTCTAAATTAACCACCAATCTGTACAAAAGAAACTTTTTGGATACCAAAATAACAAAACAAAATTTTCAAAATGAGCTTATATATTTATTAATAATCAAAGAAATTAATAAGTAATGGCAATAGTCGAAGGAAAAAGGACTAATTAATTGTTTACAATTATGATTAAAGGAATGTCTGTAATGGATCTAATTATGTTAACTGTGATTGTAATAATTTTTTTACAATGTTATGGAATTGTGTCATTTAAAATGTATATCTAAATTATTTTATAATATATAGAATTAAATGACAAAATAAAACTCTTGGGTTGCGATTGAAGTAAATCTCTGAAGCATTATTTGACTTGAAATTCGAGTTTTTGACTTGGGAGGTGAAACTGAGTCCAAGTAGAAAACTTTCTTTCCAACCAAAAGACCACATGCCATTGTTGATTTCCCTTGACAGGGCACCCACATTTGAATGACGAAAATGTCCTCCATACAAACACAAAACAACGTACTTGTCCCTTACCTTGCGCAGATCGAAATTGGATTCGAAAACACCACCGAATATCACGGCAATTACATTGCTGACCTGCCACTGCCAATCATGACTTTATTACATCCAAAGTTACCACTTTTTAACTCAAATCATCTCATTTTCCTTGTTACCGTCCTACATATGCTATGTTAATTATAATTTCAAAGAATCATTCGACTAACAAAAACTTTTTATTTTATATAAATGTAAATTCGTAAATTATTATTCTTATCTCTCACTTTATGAATCACCCATTCATCAGTCATAGTTTGACTGCTAATTTAATCAATTGGATAATTCAAATCAGGTTAAGTTCCTTGTTTAACTTTTTAACGAGTATATAAACATGTACAATAATTTTAAATAAAGATTATTTTTTATTTTTTATTATGTTTCCATATTAAAAAAATGAATTATAAAAAGTTAGAAAAATAAACTACCTGCACACTACTCATGAATTCCTACGCATACATGATTGTATCCAATCTAATGAACTAATTACAGCATGACAAATGGAAATAGAAGTTAGATTTTCTTATTCAAAATTCTCGTTAGGGAACAGTTATTATTTGCACGATAACACCCTTATCTTGGGGCGCGGAACGTGTAACTATAATACAAATATTTTATTTGACAATTTTCGTAGTATTTAAAAAAAAATACTATTTGGTTTAAGATGAAATTTATGAGGTTAGTTTTTTTATAAGAGATATTAATATGTTATTTTAGTATGACTCTTTTTTCATTCTGTTATTAACAAACATAAATTATAATTACCCCTCAAAAACAAATTCAATTTGTCCAAAAGAAAATAACCTAACAACGGATCAAGATCCCCTTTCAGCCCAGAAACCTTTTCCTCTAACTTCCACTCCGGCAACAGCATCTGCTAATGTTAAATTAAAAATAAATAAAATCGAAATTAAATTTTTTGTACGATTTTTAAATTTATTTTAATTACAAAAAAATTAAAAGCACTTGCAAAAAAAGGTAAATAAAATCGGTTTCCTTCCAAAACAGAAGAGGCGGAGTAAACACACTACACTCCGAAACCGAAACGGCGTGAAGTTTAACGGTGCTAGATCTTTCCGTTCTGCTCCTTTTCCGTTTGTTTCCCAAGAAACTGACCAAGAAAGAAAGGAATGGAAAATTCATTACCAAAAAGGACAAAGCGATTCCCATTCTTCGGTCGCAAACAACAGAGTAATAATATCTTCGCCTTTACAGTGAAACAACAACAACAACCAGAAGAACAAGATACCAAAAAAAAACCCAAAAAAATCTAACATTTCTGTGCTGCTCCTTTTTTTTTCAAGATCCTAATGTATATTTACAGAGAAACAAAATTACCAAAAGATCTCGCTAATTTACCGTATACACGTTCGCGATTCCCTAACTTTCTCGGAAAATTTTTCTTTCTCTTCGTTTTTTTCTAGGAAAACTCCTCCGGCGAAAAATTTACGAGGTCGATTATGTCGCGCGTGTCGAGGCCGAGTCGAAGCGCTTCGAGAACGCGCTCGAAGACGAAGACATGGCACGGTAACCGGAGCACGCCTTGCTGCTCATAACCGTATTCTTGCGCCGACTGGTTCAAGAGCTTCACGAATACCGGATGGTTGAGAAGCTCGGCGCACACGACGAACCGCTCCATCTCGTCGCCGACGTAGATCGGGACGTGTCCGACGGGCACCACCGCGGAAGAGCGGCGGCGATCCGTGCGGCGGCGGCGGCGCTGAGAGTCGGAGCGAAGGAGCGTGTACTGCGATGAGTCGGCCACGCGCGAGAGGCGGCGAATGAGTTTCTTCATCACGGCGAGGAGAGAGAAAGCGAAGTTAGAGAGAGAGAGAGAGAGAGAGAGAGAGAGAGTGAGTGTTATAAGATAGCGGTTTTTTATTTAATTTTTTGTTGGAGTTGTGATAGTTGTGGTGGGTGAGAAGTGAGAAGGGGAATGATGATAGAAGAGAAGAGAGTGTGGGAGGGTATATATATGCGAAGAGAAGAGAGTGTACACAATGGAAAGGTGATGATGCGGGAAGCCTGGGAGGTACAGGTAAGCGTACTTGGAAGGTACAATTAGTGAGAGAGAAAGAAATGTAAAGAGAGAGAGAGAGAGAAAATTAAATTAATTTTTATACTATAATAATAAAGTATGGTTATTTATTTAATTGTGAAATAAAATAAATGGGGCTGTTGTGGTGGGATTTATTTATTTATTTAATATGGTGGCATTGAATTTATTGTTTGGGTTTTCTCTTTGGCTTTTTGTAACTCTGCTGGAGCCTGGGATGGAGACCTGCACTTCCGACTCAGGATTTAAAATTATATTTTTATATCATCTATAATTTTGTATAAATCAAAAACTGTTTTTTTATTTGTCATTATTATATATGATTAAGATAATTTGATTTCTCATGAGGTGGTTTAAGGGTAACAATTGGTATGATTTCGTTAGGATACTATAGTCTATGATACATGTTTTTATATTCAAATTTTAAAATCTTACTTATATTTATCTCTTTTTTCTCATTAAATAATAACTTTGATTTTCATTTTGATACTTGTTGAATACTTATATTTCATACTTGTATTTATTATTAGTTGCAGATTTTAAAAAAATATATTAAATTTTATTGTTAGAATTTGTTGATTTCAATGTTAAATTTAGACACTAACATATTTTAGCAATTTTTTTGTAGATTACAAAATTTATCAATTCAACTAATAAATAATCTTATGTTATCTATATGATTGTGTATAACAAATTTTACATTATTTAAATATTTATTGACATGTTATTCAAAATTTAATATTTATTTATATTTTTAAAATATAATATTTATTAAAATAAAGCAATATAATGAAGTGCTATTAATTTTATTTTAATATGAAAACTTATAAAGTTAATTCACTTAACAAAAAAATTTTGAACTAATATTTATATTAATCAATATCATATTATGAAATGTTATTAAATAAAGTTTAATACATCATGTTAATAAATCTTAACTAAAATTCAATATATATATATATATATATATATATATATATAATAATAATAATAATAATAATAATAATAATAATAATAATAATAATAATGATTTTAAATTATCTCAAATTAATTACATCATGGTATCAAAGTTTGTCATATGTGTTGTTATCATTTTTAGTGGCCTGTGATGAAACATAAGAGTTTAAGAATTTTTCCACGATAAAATTTTTAAAATAATTTTACAAAATTAAATATAAATAACAAGATGATAGGGCACAACATTAAAAAAAATAAACATATTTTGATTATTTTTACCACATGAGAAATATAATATATGATGGACACAACAACTTCAAAGAACAATAGAAGTATATTTCTTCATTAGTTGAGTCTTAACAGTGGTGTAAAATATTTGAGTGTAACATTTTATTAAATTACTAAAAAAAAATACACGTGCCCTTGAATTATCCATAATGTAAATTAAGAGTTATAATTGATCTCATGTTGATACAAGAGCTTATCTCAATAACATTAAGGTTTCATTAGGTAATTTTTATTATGGTTGAATTTTTAAATTTTTTAGACCATTAAGGTGCTTAAGGTATATTTTTTTAGTGCAATTAGCGTTCTAAATATTTATTAGGTAACATGTTGTTTTATTCATTTGAATAGAAATTATTTGGTTAATACACTATTTAAACTTGAGTTTAAATATTATAAAGATTTAATTTTTGTTTATAAAAAAAATTAATAAAAAAGAATTTTAAATTTTAAATTTATATTTAGTAAAAAATACTTAAGAAGCTATTACAGAAATTACTCTGCATATCAATCTTATTTATAACATTTTAAATCGTCTCTCAAGATAATACAAAATTGTTTTTTTTATTTTGTAACTCATTATAATGCATTTGATAGGTTCTATAACAAGTGCAATGTTATGAAATTATACAGTGTTAATATATATATATATATATATATATATATATATATATATATGTTATTGAGAGCCATAATTATTTATGGCTTAAATATATACTCAGTGCTTATATTTTTGTAAAATTTTGAATTTAGTTCCTCCAAACCTTTTTTATATTATTATTATTATTATGGCTCCTACATTTTTGTTTTAAGTCTCTCAACTTTTTTATTATTTTGCTCTTTATATTTTTACCTACTTTTCATTTTAGTCTCTCTCTCACTAATGTAATTTATAAAATATTGTATATGATAATTTTTTAATTAATCATGCCATTATTTAATAGGTAATGAAACAAATACTAATACTACTAAATTTGAAAAATCAGGAATTAATTTTTTTATAAATTAAAAGAATTAAAATTAAAAATTCGTAAAATATATAACAACCATCAACCACGTGTGTCTATTTAATTTTTATAATTTTATTTTTAAAGGACATATTGTACTTCTTAATAACATATAGTATTTGTTAAAATTATTACCTCACTTTTAAGTTAATAAATAAAATAGATACATACTATGTTATTAATAGTCTTATAGATAAATAAAGATGGAAGAGTGAAATGGTAGCCTCCTCCGACAGACAGTTCAGACTTAACATATATAATTTTGCTTCTCAATCTTTGAAGTTAGCTAGTTATAGAGGGCTTATTCATAATTAGTTTTTACCTATCCTTAACCCCTTATACTTCTATTGTATCTGAATTTTGGAGTATTTTTTGAAGCCTCCAACTTGTCATTTCTAGGAATATTCAACTTATTTGGATACAATGTGATTACAAGTAAGTCATTTATCTCATTCTTAATCACTACTAGAAAACCTCCAAATATGGATAGATTTACAGACTAATTCTTTAATTATTATAGATGACTTTTAGCATTACAAACAGATTTATAGACAGTTTCAGTTAATTTTTTATATGTGTGTTAGTAAATAATTACAAACGAAAAAATTCGTCCATAAATTACAAACAGAAAAATTCATATGTAATCACAGACGAAAAAATCTATCTATAAACATAATAAAACTACAAAATTATATATTTAAAATTAAAAATTATTTATAAAATATAAAATTAAAATGTCATTATAAATAAAGAAGTAAATATCTAAAAAAATAATATCAAAAATAAAATAACATTGTATATCACTAATAATCAATGTGATCATCTTCTGAAAAAGTATTGTCATTAGTAGAAAAGAAGTCGGAGAAGGAATGATGCATGAAGTTGAAAATTAGTAGTGTTGAAGCTGGTGGAGGAGGAGGAAGAGGTGTAGAGCTGCTTGCTCTCATAAGCTCAAAGTATGCATGCATCTGCTGCATTTGCTGCTGCTGCATCTGCTATTGCACCTCTCTCTACATCCTCGATGTCACATTCTTCTCTATCTTCTTCTCAATTTTTTTTCACCCACTTCTTCTTCTATGCACTTTCCTTGGTCTTCCACATCTTCTCATTTTGCTTTTGTAGTTCTTTATTGAGGGCATGAACCTGAGTGCAGACCATGTCCTCCACTTCTTCAAGTGAAAGAAAAAAGGCATCTCCAATGACAGATGTAAGGGACATAGAGTTTGCAAAGCAGCTTCCCATGCAGTAAAATGCGACCTTTATAAAGGTCACCCACTGTCTCAATGTAGATAATTATATATCAATCTGGAGAACTACTTAATAAATTATTAATAATAACATATGTCAATAAGGATGTCGTGTGTCAACCCACAAAGTTTTGTCTCCCTTGCGAGTATGTATTTTCTTGAACAGCTCTCCATGTATAGGTGGTCTCTTCAATGACTTTTCCTGCAATTTCAATTAAATCACCATCTAAAATATCAATTATAGATTGAATAAAATAAATTTAAAAAAAAATTAAAAATCACATACCAAGTTTGCCTTAGTATCAGCGAAAGTCATAGAGCCACCAGTATACAATAATCCTCCTTTTGGCAAAATTTTGGTAGAATCTCTCTTAATAGATGAATACTTCCTTACATTTGTTTACACATACTTAATACAAAACTCTAAATTTCCTTTAAACATAATCTATATATTATGTAACAATTTATTAATCAATGCATGAAAAACATACACATTACAATCCTAAACCGTTCTAGAATACATCCCCTTATAACTCTACAACATGCATATTCTATAATCTCCGCAAGCACAAATAACCCCACAACACATAGTAATCAGATTCAGAAAAGGACCTTTATACCTATCCCCCCAGTCATACAATCTCCAGTCCTATAACTATCTTAAAAATTTTAAGTCTCTATTATACATCAAAAATTAAAAAACTAAACCAATTAAAAGTTACAGTATCATACTAAGAGCACGATGATGCAAATTATTTTCCAAATGAATACTTCAGCCACTTATAAAGGCCAAAAAATTGATAATACTAAAGAGAGACAAAGACAGGGAGATGAGATAAAGAAGAAATAATGAAAAATGAGAAGAAGAAGGAATAGGCGCGATTTTGATAGATTTTACACATTACAGATGAAAAAATCTATCTGTAAATGATTTAATGAAATAGTGCGTTTTAGGAGTTCAATTACAGACAGATTTTTTCATCTATAAATCTGCCAAAAACTATTACAAATGGAAAATTCGGTTTATAATCATGCAAATGAAAAGTCAAAATAGTCATATTTACAGACAAATTTTTGTTTGTTTATAACTTTTGCTTCAAAAATTTTGCTAATTTTCAAATTACAGATAAATTTTTTTTATCTATGAGCTTTCACGCCAAAAGGCGGGCTATAATACAGACGGATAATACAGACAAATTTTTTCCATCTGTAATATAGACGGATTTATAGATTGACTTGTCCAAAAAATAAAAAAAATTGAATATCCATCAATATAAAGCGTGTTTCTGATACTGAATATTCATAATTGTAGGTATCTTTATTTCTCTGTAATTAGTGAAATTTGGAACTTACTTAGTGGTATTAAGTTTGTTAGATTTCAGCATATTCTGATAAAAGCAAA